TATAGGGAACTGCGGTGGCACAGTGGGCTACATGCTGGGCTGCTGAGAGGTCAGCACTTTGAAACCACCAGCGGCTCCAAAGGGGAAAGATGAGGCTTTCTGCTCCTGTGAAGTTACAGTCGTGGAAGTCCACAGTGGTGGTGCTTTCTTGTCCTACAGGGTCACTATGAGTCAGAATTGACTTGACTTGAGTTTATTTTCCCCTCTTTGTTGTTTTGCTGTAAAGCAAGCCCTAGATTTTTCCCCTACTCAAGATAACATCTCTAAGAAATACTGCTCCCCCCTCACCCTTTTTTAACATAATTCTAATGCCATTATTATACCTAACAATTTAACTTGGTCTCACTCTGGTCCGCTCAGCTCTCATTCGAACCCCTCCCATCAGATACTTCATTTTGTCTCTGTGTGTATGGGTGTGTGTTTCAAACCTCCCATTACTTTATTTTGTCTCTGTGTGTATGGGTGTGTGTTTCAAACCTCCCATTACTTTATTTTGTCTCTGTGCGAGCACGTGTGTGTGTGTGTGTGTATGAATGCAGTAAAATAGAACAATAATGCAGTAGAGATATGTTGACTAAAGCATTACATTTTTTCACTTAATCTGTACATATTTCTGCATGCTTCTCTATGAGATGAGTGCTTTAAAACAACAACATGACTACATCATTATCACATCTAAAAATTAGTAGTTCCTGAACAACATTAAATACTGAGTTAGTGCTGAAAATTCCCTGAATTGTCTCAAAAATCTTAATCGTGTTTTGTTCGTGTCCAAAGATCACAGTGTGCTGTGCAGTCAATTATTTAATAAGGCTCTTCTAGGCATAGCCTTTGGGCTGTGCGGCTCCTTACTTAAAAACAAAAACCAAATTCTTGCCCTCCAGTCTTTCTGGTGTGTAGTGACCCTAGGGGACAGAGGAGAACTGCCCTTTGTGTATCTGGGACTTTAAATCTTTTACAGGCTCATCTTTCTGCCACGGAGCACAAGGGACTGGTGGGTTCAAACCACTAACCTTGCAGTTAGCTGCTTAATATGCAGTTGCTCTGCCAGCAGGAGCCCTTCTAAGGCTTATCCTCAAATCTTTGTTTTAAATCTCTTTATGAAGCCAGTTCTACTCAGTCCGATATGGTCACTATGCATTTATAGATTTCCCCTGTCTGGCTCTCTTGTATTCCTGATGTTAAGGAGACTGGGCTATTTGTTCTGGAGGCTTCCTTTGCTGTGGATTCTGCTGGTTACCGGAGAGGCCTTTACACTTGTTTCTCTGTTCTTGTGTTTTTTTGTGAATTGGCAGTTCGATTAGATGCTAGATCAGATACTAGTATGACGTTTGTTTTGGCCAAACTACTGTAATGATTAAAATTTTAAAGTACTCATGGATACAAGTTTATGGAATGAAAGAATCCCATACTTACTTGTTTAATATAAGCCCATTGAATTTGAATATACAGGTAGCTCACACATTGTCTAGTTTTTTGGTTCACCATGTGTTAAGTGTACAAATAGTTTATTCATTCTCATTGTTGTGTGGCATTTTATTATAGAGCACCCCACAATTGCATACTCTACTATTGAAGGATATTTGGTTTTTCACTTTTGAATATGATAATTAGTGTTCTTATGAATATTCACGTTGAGCCATAGAATGTAGGCATCATGAACTTTACTAG